TTCATATATTGGAGACACCAATGTCATCATAACTATTTTAATTGATCGTCTTCAATATTAGTATTATATAGACTTGAGGTTTTTTTATTTTATTTTATTTTATCGAATGTTCCCAATACTCGTATAAACAAGTTTTAGGGTTAAGAGTTCAGACCTCGGCGTCCAAGATGCTTCCTTAAATTCGGTGGATTATGCTTTTATATTAAAGTTGAACTATAATGTTGAGGAAAAGTCTATTGTACTTAAAAAAAAATGGTACTGTTCCACATTTATCATTTATGTGGTTAGGATCACAAAAATAATAAAAATAGTTATCATAACAGTAATAAAAATAAACACTCACAAATATTATAATTTTTTTTATTATAAAATAATTCACAAAAGTTATAAATATACTTATTAATGTAGTAAAATATAGAGGTACCGTACTGAAATGTTTTTTAGGTACTATGGTTAAGTTCCAATGTTGAGGGTTGAATACAAATCTCTCTCTCTCTCTCTCTCTATATATATATATATATAGATACAAATTATAAATATCAGTATCTGTGAAAAAATTTTGATTTTCTATTTTATCTCTAATTATTATAATAAAATTAATTATACTCACTTATATACTTTAATTTAATTTTTGTGATATACTCTTATTTGACTTTTAACTTGTTTTAAACTCTTTTATAAACACTTCTAAATTTTTTTAAACTCATTTATTAGTAGTACAACTATGTACAATTTTTTATATCTATATGAACAAGTAAAGTACTATACATGTTAAATTATTATACACATATAGTTGTTAGATTAAATTTCATGGTCAAATATATATTATATTTTATTTTTTGATATGCAATAATATAATAATATTATAAGCGATCTAATCAATTTATTTAAGAAAATATAAATTAATAATTCTATAATATAATTAGATATGCAAATGCCTAAAAGAGTTGGAGAGATACATACACTTAATTTATTATTTAATTTAATTACACACATAGTTCACGTTTTCTATAAAAAAATATTATTTAAATTTATTTATGTGCAACACATGTCGTGTATTACTAGTAGTAATAATGGTGCATATTAAGTCATTTTTTAATTTTTATTTACTAGGGGCAAGTTTGTTTTGAGGATTGCTATGAAATGTACTGAAAAATGTATTCTTTACATTTCCAATACCCATGGAAATTAGTACCTGTAATATAAAGAATTTTAATCATCCCTCATGGTTGTTAGTTCAATAGGTACTATGATGAGTCCCGCAAACAATCATCTATTCTATTATATCTTATATAACAAATATACAATTTTTTCATTAATATCATCCATTTTATTACTCTATTCCAGATGTATGTACAAAAAAAAATTTTAAAAAAATCGATAGAACCGTACGCTTAAATATAATATAATGAAAAAATTCAAAAGCATAAATTTTGTTTAAAAAATTAATAAAATTTATTTAAAAAAAAAAAAAAAACCACCGTACGCTTAAACATAATATAAAGAAAATTTTCAAAATCAAAATTGTTTTTTAAAAAAATAAAAAACCGTTGGTGGCCAAAATCTCATACTAACATTAAAGACCAAAGGGCAATTCAGTCATTAATCTCCCTAATAACATTGGTGGCCAAAATCCAAAAAATAATACCACTTACTAGGTGGTTTTATATAAACCTATATATATGGGTTTTGGTGAACTGTAACTAACAGGTTAATATTGCGACCCAAAAAATAATACAACACGAAAAAAGACAAATAAATAAGATATTACTGGCTCCACGTACTATTTTCCCTAATCCCATATTTTTATACCATAATTATCCTTCAAACAAACATGCCTAGATGAATATGGGTGGTGAAATATACGGATTGATATTAATAAAAATAAATAAATGAGACTCACTAATTTAACCATTTCGATTTGTTAAATAAGTTCGACGACTAGTAAGTCAACATTTGTAACATCACCAATTCAGAAACATTTGATGCAGCTACCACGTTTTGAATTTGATAGCTTAATTTTATTTAAAAAAATTATGCTATGTGACTTTAAGCAAAAGACTTCATCCAGGTTTAATCAAGTCTGACACAACATGAAGAGTAGAATGAATCCGAGCAGAGATTGAAACAAAGCCTATTAAGGGTGAGTATAACTTTTTTTTTTTTTTTTTGTTCAATGGTCAGGAAGTTTGGACAAATTAACGCACACTTCGACTAATTTTCTCTTCGTTTCAATTAAAGACAAGTTATCCACGTCGAAACTACGATACCTTAAGTGTATAACTACCACTTAAGGGTACCTTCAAAGCCTATAAAACACTCCACAGTGGAAAAAAGTGGTGTGGAGACAAATAAGAGAGTTGGAACCCACATGTGAAGGGAGTGTTAGAACCCGGGGAGGCAAAGCCACCCTACATCGAAAGTGCAAAGAAAAAGAAGGGGCTATGAACAGTGTTGGAACAAACCCCTACAGCTTAGACTTAAAGCATTTAAGTTGGGTGTGTATCAAACTTGTACATGAGTCCAAATCTTAAGGAGAATAACGTAACATTCCATTGGAACTATAAAGGAAAGCAATCTACAAACAAGAGGAAAGGTCATTGAAACCTAAAACTTCTCCTTATTGCTCATAATTAATAAATTGTGTTATTTTTTGATTAACTTAAGCATCGTAGGATTTTTATGGGCTCAAGGTTAACCCTCATTTCCTCATTTTTCTTTGCCTTACATGTGGTCGGTGAGCCATCCTCCCTCCTATTTACTTATGAACACATTCTTGCATTAAATTATCAGATACATATGATATTAATGAAGATGATTTTACAATGGCTATATATAGCTCCAGTGGTTCTAATGCCTAAGGTTAATCATTAAACTAGCTAAGTGCTTGCCCTAAAGTCTCATGCTAGGGGAAAGCATCTTCTAAGTATGGTCCCATTCTTGTGAATATACATCCAAGTAAGTTGGAACTAGATCCATGTTACTCGGTCCTCATACTTGACCGAGAGAGCAATTACTCAAGCATCTACCAGACTACCTACCTTAGCTTTGAAGTATTGTCTACCTTAATGATGCTTCTTAAAATATAAACCACCCACCCCATCACCCTAACCCCAACCATCTTTGCATAGGCCACTTAGAAAGTTGTTTTCTAAGACCGTCTTTCAACATTAATCACTTGCTCTACATATATGTATATACACTCACACATACACACACATATGGATATATGTAGGTACATGTGTACATATAAATGTGTGTCAATTTGTGTTTGGGTTTTTTTTTTTTTTAGGGGGGGCGGGGGAGCAGGCGGTTGTGTGAAAATGGGGTCCACGGAAACTAATGGAACAATAAGTCAACAAATTAGGTCCAATTAACATTGTTCAAAACTATTTTCATGATCAGAGACATTGCTTCAAGGGACTTGAAGCTTTGTTAATAACCTAATTGTCATGGATGGNCGTTTTATGATCTGAGACATTGCTTCAAGGGACTTGAAGCTTTGTTAATAACCTAATTGTCATGGATGGATTGGTGNTTCGACTAATTTTCTCTTCGTTTCAATTAAAGACAAGTTATCCACGTCGAAACTACGATACCTTAAGTGTATAACTACCACTTAAGGGTACCTTCAAAGCCTATAAAACACTCCACAGTGGAAAAAAGTGGTGTGGAGACAAATAAGANGGATTGGTGTTTTCTATAAAATGCAATGGGGTCTTCCGTTTTTCTGATGCCAACAAAACAATCCCTATATTTAACGTTATCTTGACAAAGCACAAGCATGGTTTTAAAAAATATAATTGTATCATGTTCAACGTTTAGTTTCGTCTTATGGGCAAACAGCTGTTTGAATCAAACACTTCTCGAAAACTCTAAATTCACTTGCAAATAGAGCCACAACAAAAAAGAGAAAGGACTTACGAAGGGCATGAGTGAGATTATGTATCCGCCTGTTCATCTTTTACATTATCTCCCCACAACTGAACTTCATCGGATTCTTCCCAATTCTTTGGAGAATCAACACTAGATGAACTTCCAAATCGTGACCTCAATCCAATAGGCTCTTGTTGTTGTTGTTGANTTAACCCTCATTTCCTCATTTTTCTTTGCCTTACATGTGGTCGGTGAGCCATCCTCCCTCCTATTTACTTATGAACACATTCTTGCATTAAATTATCAGATACATATGATATTAATGAAGATGATTTTACAATGGCTATATATAGCTCCAGTGGTTCTAATGCCTAAGGTTAATCATTAAACTAGCTAAGTGCTTGCCCTAAAGTCTCATGCTAGGGGAAAGCATCTTCTAAGTATGGTCCCATTCTTGTGAATATACATCCAAGTAAGTTGGAACTAGATCCATGTTACTCGGTCCTCATACTTGACCGAGAGAGCAATTACTCAAGCACCTACCAGACTACCTACCTTAGCTTTGAAGTATTGTCTACCTTAATGATGCTTCTTAAAATATAAACCACCCACCCCATCACCCTAACCCCAACCATCTTTGCATAGGCCACTTAGAAAGTTGTTTTCTAAGACCGTCTTTCAACATTAATCACTTGCTCTACATATATGTATATACACTTACACATACACACACATATGGATATATGTAGGTACATGTGTACATATAAATGTGTATCAATTTGTGTTTGGGTTTTTTTTTTTTTGGGGGGGGCGGGGGGAGCAGGCGGTTGTGTGAAAATGGGGTCCACGGAAACTAATGGAACAATAAGTCAACAAATTAGGTCCAATTAACATTGTTCAAAACTATTTTCATGATCAGAGACATTGCTTCAAGGGACTTGAAGCTTTGTTAATAACCTAATTGTCATGGATGGATTGGTGTTTTCTATAAAATGCAATGGGGTCTTCCGATTTTCTGATGCCAACAAAACAATCCCTATATTTAACGTTATCTTGACAAAGCACAAGCATGGTTTTAAAAAATATAATTGTATCATGTTCAACGTATAGTTTCGTCTTATGGGCAAACAGCTGTTTGAATCAAACACTTCTCGAAAACTCTAAATTCACTTGCAAATAGAGCCACAACAAAAAAGAGAAAGGACTTACGAAGGGCATGAGTGAGATTATGTATCCGCCTGTTCATCTTTTACATTATCTCCCCACAACTGAACTTCATCGGATTCTTCCCAATTCTTTGGAGAATCAACACTAGATGAACTTCCAAATCGTGACCTCAATCCAATAGGCTCTTGTTGTTGTTGTTGAGATGTTGTTGAAGACGCTGATGAAGTTGTCGATGATGCAGATTGCAAACCATAAGTCCCGGTAGGGTAGAAACCCGAGATGCCATAGTTCCATTCACGGCCTCCTCCATGAAGAAGTTGAGCATAACGAAAGAGGTTGGGATAAGTATCTTGAGAAGGTGGCATAGGAGGAGGGAGAACCGACTCAGGAACTCGGTCAGCTACAATGGGCAAGTCTTGACGAGTTGTTAGGTAACCCAACTCGGTTCTCCCTTGAACTCTTTCAGGGAAATTGAGTTTGGCTTTGTTTCCTTTGAATCTAAGTGCTGCTTCATCGTAGGCAAGGGCTGCAGCCTCTGCGTTTTCGAAAGTTCCGAGCCAGACTCTTGCTGCCTTCTTTGGATCTCGTATCTCAGCTGCCCACTTTCCCCAAGGTCTCTGCCTTACTCCTCTATAGTGTCTTCTCCTCTGGTCCCCTTCACTTACATGTAATATTAGTATTTTGACATTTAAAAGATATAAGGAATAACAATTTTTGTACCGTATTTGATGGAGAGTACTAAAGTTTGGGAAGCATTAGTACTTAGTAGGTTATGCAGCCATATCACTAGAATTTCCTAGAAATAAATATCAAAGAGCTGAAGTATAATTGAAGATGATATGTCGGGTAATTTTGGATGTGTGTGTGTGTGAGTGTGAGAGAGAAAGAGAGAGGAGCAACACATTGGGATCAAGGAAGAGCTAAAGAAAAAAGTTGCATCTGGCTAATGTTATTTATAATAATGAAGGAAACAGTTCAAATGAAACACAAACGTAGATAAAACCAAAATCTACACCAGTTTTTTGATACATATCCCTTGAAAAGTGGAGATTATCCAATATAATAAATATGGTTTTCCCCCAAATCTTCCAAAACAGCGCACAATCATAAATTTTGTACCTTGATCTTGAACGGATTGAGATCGGCTTTGTTCCGCTGTGCCAGACTGAGGTATGACTAATGAGTTTCCAGGAACAGACCCTGGATTATTGTTGTTGTTTCCAATAACCTGAGAGAGAGCTGAGACCACAGCTGACAAGTCTTGTTGGGACCGAGCTGAGTAGACAGGGAAGATAGGTTCTTCCTTTTTTTCCTCCGATTCATTGGACGGAAGGGGCCTCTTCCCATGTCTTCGATCCACTGTGTAAGCTTCTGCAACCTTGTGATATGCTTTTGGATTGCTGGTGGTTGCCAAATCAAGTAAGGAAGATATATATATATATATATGGAAGAAGACCAAGAAAATATTAGAGACAGAGAGAGAGAGAGGAGGATGGGCAGATATTGAGAAGCATGAAGAGGGGGAAGAAGATAAGGAATTGTAGGGTTTACACTACAGCAACTTATGTATTCTCCTTTTAGTGTGAACATGTGAAGAGAACACATTTTAGTCAATGGTCAATCTTTTTTAACCTAGTTTTCATGGATTTTTTTATGAAATACAAATTGATAATTTGGACTCATAACATGGCCAAAGTTGAATGGCTACATACTTTGTCCTTTTAAAATAAAAAGTAGAAAATAATAAATAACAAAATGTATGATTATATTAATGGTTTCATAGCAAAATTAATTGAATATATAGGTACAATTGAGGTTGTAATAATAAATAATGTGTTCAATATTTAATATTTCAAGTAGGTAATTATTGTTGTCGTTACAAAAAAAATCTCTTACAATACGATATCAATTATTAGGATTGAAATTTGTGTAAATATTTATCTGTATATATTCAATTATTAACTTGTCTGATGTTGTACATATACAGATGAACTCAACATATATAATAAATAAAGATTTATTGTCTCCAAAACCAAGTGAAAGGCATTTTTCTTAAGGCTTCATAATTATTTCAATGAATTGGATTAATATGTGGGATTATAGCTCATGTTATGAAGCAATCTCTCTACTTAATTAGGGCATGGCATAGCTCATGGACTTCCCAACTTTCGAAGGAGATGCATCGACATGCCATTGTTTTCTTATTAATCTCGAGAAATTATCAAAAAAATTGAGATACAAATAAGTACGAGTAACTCAAACTTTGTTAGTTCATAAAGACATATGTACTTTTTTAGAAAAAAACAAACTTAGATTTAAATTTGATTATGATATCATAAATCGCTGAAAATATTTAATACAATTTTTATTTTTTTTATACGGATCAAGAATAAAGGTGAAGAGCAACATGAAAATGGCCATCTCTTGTACTAGAAGTCATACGAACCTAAAGAAGTTTCTAGAATACTAAAATATAGGTAAAAACAATAATTAAGAATTTATTTATCAATAATTTGACTATCTGGCTGGCATGATAATTGACAATTAGAGAGGCGATTATTATACTATACAGATGCTGAAGCAAGAAACCGACATTTTTATTTGTACTACTGTCTGATATTTTCTTTTTAAGTACTGCTTCTCTTTTTTTTATTCTGCTTTTGAAGTAATTTTTAAGATCATTTGCTCTGTATTTTTTGTCTTATTTTTTTTGTTCGGCTTTGATCCATTTCTCCAAGCTTAGTCACATGAATAATAGTTTACATATAGATATACTATGAATAATCCCGTACCCGAAGACACTATGTAATATCAAAAATCGAACATTAATTGTGTAATATTTATATTTTAAATAATAATTTATTTCTTTATTATCAATTACATAATTTAAAATTAAAGTGAACATGGAGAGAGAGAGAGAGAGAGAGAGAGAGAGAGAAGTAGATGTGGATTAAGGAGGTTATTTGACATTGAAGAATGTCTTAGTTAAGTTGTTTGACATTGAAGTTCATGTAGAGAAGATAATATTTGTAAGCGAAAAAAAAAATAGGTATGCCATTTGATTAAAGTAGTTGAAAATTAGATTAATTTTGATTGTTGTTATATTGAAAATTTAAGTTCTTAACTGTAATATAAGATAGACTAACAATAATCTATGCCAAAAGACACTCTGCAATCCTAAAAATTAAGCATTGATCATGTAATATTTATATTTTAAATAATAATTTTTTTTTCTTTTCCTTCCATTATGCGTACTTTAAAATTAAAGTCCAATGAGAAAATAAAAAAAATGTAGCAATGGATTAGTGGGGAGGACATGCAAAAAAGATGATGACTTTGAGTGGACAGAAAATATTATATGTTATCTTGTACCGTTAGATAGAAATTACTAGATAAAAATTGAATCAATTTTGACCGTTATTATTTTTTAAGTTGATAATTCAATTTTTTAATTGCAACATTATTACATTATATAGATATAAACGTATCATCTATGCTACATTTATATTAATCTAATATTACAATTAGTACATTTAATTATCAGCTTAAAAAACAATCAAGCTTGATCCAGTGGCAAATTCATTCCAAATTTTTTCCCCTAAAAAACATGATGTTTATTGCACGTAGGGGTGTTCACTCTATCCTACAGGTAGGAAATATGGTCTTTCGTCTTCCTACTTGATATTTTGCGGAAGAATTTTTTTTTTGACCTACCATACCCAATCAAATGTGGTAATCCTACCCGACTTCCGACCAAATTAATCGGGTAAGAAGTCGGGTAGGAAATCGGGTGAACACATTTATAGTTATTAATTTTTATATCATTTTAACAATTCAACTAAATAATATGTACCAATTTAACAACACAATAAACCAATAACACTAAAACCTAAAACAATTACAATAAAACACAAGAAAGTATAAACATCAATCCATCATAATTGTTGAACAAATACAATAATAATTATTTTAAGTTTAAATCTTATGGTTAGAGAGTTAGGGTTTTTAGTTTATATATATAAATTAATGCGAGTAGGGTAAGGTAGAAATAAGAAAATTAATGGTTATTATGCATTTCTACCCGATTTAATTGAAAGACCAAAAATTCTTCAGCATTTCTACCTAATTTGTTTGGCTAGCCGTTCAATAGAGTCGGATAGTATAAGAAATTGCGGCTAATCGAAAATTTGAAAATCCCTAATTGCACGACCCTTAATATCAAATTGAGTATACTCTCCNCCAATTTGTTTGGCTAGCCGTTCAATAGAGTCGGATAGTATAAGAAATTGCGGCTAATCAAAAATTTGAAAATCCCTAATTGCACGACCCTTAATATCAAATTGAGTATACTCTCCAATGCTAGATAACCCCTTAATTTATTTACATTTCTCTCTCTCTCTCTATCATACCTCTTCTTATTTTTTCTTCATTCACTTGAATTTTAATTGTGTAATTCAAAAAAAATAAATTGTTATTTAAAATACAAATGATGCACGATTAATGCTTAATATTTACTATTGCAAAATGTTTTTAGGCACAAGGTTGTTGCTAGTTCATATATTACACAAAAATTAAAGAGGAGGGGACTTGAAAATACTTCTCTCTATTTATTAAATTCTTAGAATTTTATTTTTTTTATTACTAAATTAAAATTTTCTCTAATCACCATTCAACGTTGACTCTTCTTTCAAAAAATTAATTTTCATCCCTTACAACTTCCCATATCTTTTTTAAAGTTCCCTATTATGAGCATCTCCAACCTAGAATTAAATTTTTACTAAAATTTAATTAAAATTTGAAACCAAATATTCTAATTGATAAACCCTAATGTAAAGGAGGATGAACCTGCCTAGTGATGATTTGAGTAAAAAATTGAGTTTCTCTTTATTTGGTATGAGTTTGAGTAAAGGGTTTGAGCTTCTTTTTAATCTATTTTTATTCAAATGTAAATTTGAGTCAATACTTAAATAAGGGTTAGTGTTGTTGTAATTGCAATAAATTGATAAGCAAAATACAAAATAATAAAACTGATACGAAACAATTCAGATTAGGACACAAGTATCTTGTTCTCTTTAAGGAGATTCAAACCTTTTGCAGATGGCAAAGTTTAAATCCGATGCAACAGACCTTTTCATTTGACTTGTCTCCTTCATGGTACAACAATCCAATAGTTCCGTCGTACAACATTAATCAACTATGCATAAGTGGTTAAGTCCAAAACCCCACCATATAAACACCTTTTTTTGGCCTAAACTCTCAAGTGTGTGTAATATATTATGAGATGTTACAATGTCTTGGATGATGTCCATATGTATCTCACAATGACCATCTTAGGGGTCCTATTTGTAAGCTCTTAAAACTTTCTAGAGTTACTAACGAGTGGTTAGTTCGATGGATAAAAACTCGAATTTTCTCGCTCAATACTTAAATTCGAGTCTTCATAGCTATGACAGTTCGTTAGGACTAAACCTACTCTTCAACGTTCAAAGCACGCAGTGGGACCTTAACTTCGGCTTCGGCGTAGGTACGGTGGGGTCCCCTACAAATAGTTGTGTGGTGTTGAAGGACAATGTTCCCTTACAGATATATAGAGTGACCTATTTGTATATCCATTTATTGTACCCAAAAAAAAAAAAAAAAACTTTCTAGAGTTCATTTATCTAAGTCATGTATATATATATAAAGTACATGTACATAACTATACATGCATCTAATACACTCAATTCATGCATAGAAGTTATGCATGAATGTACATGGGTAAAGTTCACAAATATGGTTTATACATACATCTAATAAATATGGTTCATGTGTAACAGTGAATAAGAGAGACACGTATGCATTGAGTTCATTTTCATGTAGGTACATTACACATTCATCTCATAAACATAATTCATACATAAGAGCAAATATGATATATGTATCAATGAATCAATATATACAATGGATCCATATAGGTAAATAAATCTACATTGATACAATAAATTATATATTAATATTAAAATATACCAACAGTTAGAAATGCTCTAAAAAAATAAGGATTAGAGAGGGGTGAAGGACAAAGAAGGAGAAATAAGAGGAAAAAAAAGACCATTGTGAATTCCGCGCATTGCATGAGGAGGACGCTAGAGAGAGAGTGCGTGTGTGTGTGAGAGAGAGAGAGAGAGATTGTTTTTTTAATTTAAAATTTTACTTTGAAAAGACCATTACCAACCAAATGACACATTTTCTCTCTTATACCCTGATTTCAGTGTAGCTAGCTATATGAGGTAAAATATTTACCATTTGGTAATGCGTTGGACTGTAGCTTGTAATGCCAGTGTTTGAATCTCAGATATAGTGGACAGGATGGAAAAAGAAATCTCATTGATAACAGTTGATGGTGCTCGAAACTACTTGGCCCAAGTGTAGAACTATGGTTGTGAGACCCAATGGGGAGGAGGTAGTGTGAATATTCAGATTAACAAAAAAGTGAGGGATGAAGTTGGATCAAAAACACTATTTAAGTGGTTCACCTTAATCGAATGACTAAAGCTACATTTACTGCAAATGAGACTCTTGCTCCTTGGGGTTTTATATTACTTGAAGAAGAATATTACAATTGGTTGTTTGGCTTAGAACCTTTGTGTACAGTGTCTTGTGAATACTGATTTCTGGAACTCTTTTTTATAGTGTGATGGTGTTCTATTTATATAAGTAATCATCTAGGATTTCTTGTGATTTCTTCCTTCCCACCCTTTATCAAAGAGTACATGTTCGTTAGTGGCTCCATAAGCCGTCCCCCTATCTCTTGGACACATGGCACGATGGGAGACACTCGGGATCTAACAAATACCGAGCTCTTTGTTTCCGGATTGATTTCTGCCGAGCTCGATACAGTTGAGCAGGAACGTATCTATCTGGGTGTCGTTGAACTCTCCTATTTGGGTTGTGGCCCATTCTTATTGTGGGGTGGATAGACTGCGGATGAGTCGTTTGGATTGCCACGTAACCGATCGGCCCATTGGATGGTCTGGGTTTTGGATGGGCAGCCTACTTAGAAATCTTACCATCGTTAACAATAATAAGGGGCTTAGGGAGGCCGGTCCCTTTTTGTAGACTTATTTGGGCTTAAATACACTCAAAAAACTTATTTAGGGATAAGTTCATTTTGATCTTCGTTGTCCAAAATACTCTCAATAGTTATATTTAGTCAAAACTTATTTGAAAAAACTAACAACTTTTAAATTAGGAATTGTATTAGAATTAACAACTCATATATTGTAAATTGTGCTAGCATTAAAATTATGTTTGTACATATATTAAACAGTAACATGTTCAACAAAAAAATAATAACATCAAACAGTAATATGCTCAACAAAAAATTTAATTAAAAATTTAATCATTGCAATAGAATGATACCATATGTGAGTATTTATTCTGTTGTGGGAGTGTCACTCAATTACAATGATTAAATTTTTATTAAATAAAAATGACACCATATGTGAGTATTTATTATGTTGTGGGGGTGTCACTCTATTACAATGATTAAATTTTTATTAAGTATGTTACTGTTTGATATTACTATTTTTTTGTTGAGCGTGTTAGTATTTAATATTAATATATATACGAATGTGTGTGTGTGTGTGTTTGTATATATATAAGGGTAATTATGGAATACATTTCAAAAAAAAATTAAAATGTTTTAAAATGTGTACTTATTGACAACTATTTAATGAAAAATAGCACTTAATAGAGTATAACTTTGAAGATAGTACTTAAAGTCAAATAAGTTTTATAAAAGGTACTTACAACCAATTATCCTCGATAATAAACTATTAGTACATCATTAACATTGTGAGATTTTTTTGGGGATAAAAAAAAAACGAATACTCATTCAAAAATCATAAAATCCACCATATTATTCATGTGTTGAGTACATCTCTTGAAATTATTTATTATCGTTTGGTACGAAAGATGGAAAGAAGGAAGAAAGGAAAAGTTAAAGGAATAAGTTTTTCATCTATAAAGAAAAGGAAGTTATTTTTCCTCCTTTTTGTTTGGTAGGAGAGATGAAAAATATAAGGGATATATTTTCCATCATTTAGTATTGGATGAAAAATGAAAGAAAAGAAAAAACATATATGCCCAATTTAATATATTAAGTGAATTTTTTATTACAAATCAATCCAATTAATTTGAAAAAGCTTTTAATCCCCTTATTTTTGTTACCATTTAATTTTGGAGGAATTAATTTTGCTTTGAATGATTTGTAACTATTAATTGCAAAATTACAAAATGACATTAATTAAAAATAAGAATATAAAAAGAATTTACACATTAGTGCATTTTCCTGGATAAAAAAATAAAGATACAAAACTAAAAAAATTATTTAAATTCTACAATCATAACATTAAAAAAGAGTTGTTAACTTCAAGTGACTGACATCATCAAAAATTAAATAGGCATAGAATATTGTGCATAATAAGAATGGATAAGAGGGCATAATAGTAATTTAGCTTCAACTTTAATCAAGATTCTCTTCTTCTCTTCCACTTTCCGCCCAAAACCGGAAGAACAAAAAAAATGGCAGGCAGAGTGGATTAAGCTTCCGTCCCATTTTCCGTTTTATTGTATTTTCCTTCCATACCAAATGAGTGAAAATCTTTCCTTCCCCTCCATTTTCCCTCCTCTATTTGCCATCCACCCTTCTTTCCATCGTACCAAACACAGGGTTAGGGACGAAATAAAATCCGTTTGAATTCATATTCTTTCTGCTACTTTTTTACTTAATTCCATGGGTGTGGGATCCAATCACCACAGAGAAATGTTTTTGAGCAGCCAAAAAATTCATGAGTTCGAATGGATACATTTTGAAATAATTTTTCAAAGTATATAATTCGTTGCTAAAGGTTTTTCGAGACAAAAAAATTTTGTCGCCATTTTTATCGTGGCAGGCTCAAATTTTTTGGCGACCAACAAAAATTTTATCACTAAAAATATAGAATTAGCAACAAAATGCAATATTGGTCGTGGGATATCTTTTTTGGCACATGTTTCCCTATTCGTAGCAAAAAGTCCTTAATGGTTCTTTGTGTATATGAAAGTGCAATAATTATTGAGTAAAATTATATGAAAGTGTAAGACAAAGAGTCTTCATCTTATACACCCAAACAAGCATGTAACCCCAACATTAAGAATTTGCACTTTTACTTGTTTTTAAGCAGGTATATATTATTGTGCGTCATTCACCAATAAACAATAAATGATCTATTATACAAAATCCAGAGAAAAAGTGTATTAGGAGGCATTTGGATGCATAACTTAAAGAAAAAATGTTGAAAGAAATCTAAATCTAATTATCACTTATTAGTATTTATTCTTATTTAACCACGTTGTGATTAATTAAGAATTATTCTTGCCCCGCTAAATAAAAAGAATTTTAACATGTTATTAGACCTAATAATTATTACGAAGAGCTATCGACCTTATACAAAATCAACATAAAATTATTGGATAAGCATACAACCTTAATGGTTCAGATCGTAATCAGATTAACCTCCTAACCCATGTAATAAATTGCCGACACAACCCTAATTACAGAGATTACAAACCCGACTATACACAACTATCGATACATCTTTCATGTTAAACAAATTTTGATACTCCACAAACCACAAACAAACATAGCACAATCCATTTGCCAGGCCCTATTTGCTGTATCTGTACATAAACCTACCCTTCCATGTAGGACGAAAGAGGCGTCAATGCAAACAGAAAAAACAAAGGTGATATTGGCACCATGGGGCTCTCCAAAATGGCCTAATTCAATATGCATGATAATCAAAAACATAGAACTATTATTCTAATGTACAGTTTCTGCAAGTTTAAGTGCTTGGTTTAATATTTCTTGTTCTCATGTATGCTAAAAATTGGGAAGGCAATTCGGCAAGAAGCGATTGTACAACAGAGATTTCTCCACCTGCAAGCCAATGAAAAATCACCGCTTAACAAATTGCAGATTTTTTTTTTGAAGCGAAGGATTGAATTGTAGTCGTCAAAACAGGAAATATATTTACAAATACATTATTTAGTCGGATATTTATCGGGTGACTTACTCTGTACATCCCGGAATGGAACAAATTGGACTATATCACGCGATGCAACACGCCCACTTGAACTTTCAAGTCTTTCTCCTTTGTCTGCATCTAGAATCTGCAGAATAATAATCACAATACCAGGAAGTGGAGACGTTTAGAAAGACAACATTGCCGAGTTTGTTTGAAAAAGTAGGAGGACAATTGGACACTATTCAAGAAACGGGAATGAATAGAGCAGGATACCTCCATCTCTTTAAAGTCAGCTCCTCCAACTCCAACAATAAGGATGGACAATGGCAGGTCTGATGCCTTCACAAGGGCATCTTTTGTTTCTTGGAGATCTGTTATCACACCATCCTAACATTTTCTAATAGAATGAGATTTGATAGAAACATAGTATATAGTTATAACAAGGACACATAAACATAGCAATTCAGAAAAATGTGTAGCATCTATGGTGTTCTCCCAGAGAGTGCACATCATTAAGAGGAAAAGGACAATAACACTATAAATTTACTCTCTGTGACACACACACACCACACATCACCCGTGGGATGTTCAAGTCCGGAGAATTCAGATATCAAAAATAAAAATGAAAAATTGTGTCACAATGCAAATTCAACACTTACCGTGATTATTAACAAAACGAAGTACTTCCGTTGATCGTTTGCAACAGACTGGCTGGCTATCAGAGCAGCAGTGCTAATCACAGGTCCAAAAAGGGTTGGTCCAGCCAATGAAACATTAAAAAGAGCACTTGCGTATGCCATCATAATTCCTGGGATTCCTTCAACCTGGGAGAAAAAGAAACACGGCTTCATGAAATACATTCTGGAAACAGTAATATGAAGAGTAAGGTGCACCAAATAACCAAAGCCACATCTAAATTTGCTGAGACTAATGTATGCTGTGACAGCTTTACCTCAAAGTTATTACTGCTTCCATTTAAATTAAAACAGTGTGAGACTGGACCATCAATTGGCCGTGCTCCAAATCCCCAAGCAGGGAAGTGCTTATCTGAGTCATAAAATTGCAATACCTCTCCAACCTCTAAAATTGCCTAACATACAAGGACCAGAGTTAGGTCATTCTAATATTACTGGAATTTGTAACATATTCACAGGCGAGAGCAGTTTCTCACTCGCTGGTATGCGTTCGGCCTTCCCGAAGGGTCAATATAATGCAATGAATCAGGTAGGCGAGGATTCCCATTTGAAGCTGATAAAAAAAGGAAAAATCAGGTGAAAATGGTTCTAAGGAATGTTAAATGAAGAGAACCAAACAAGATCAAGCAGGAACAATAAAAATAGCCACAATTAATGACTGCGAAAACGTTGAAGGCATTATAAAGTATTGGTCCCAATGACGAAGGGTGCTCATAGCATAAAATTCAGTTGACACCAGTCCAAACATATAAAGGAGGAGATATGCAAAAAATAAATACCAGTAAAATCAATCGCCACCATGAAGTTCAGTTCATATCCACCAGTCAAGTAATCCAGGAACGTGTGCTGGATGTTCTCAGAAAACTTGTCCACAAATAGCTGACTCTTTAAGACCTGAGTTAAAATTGCCAGACAACTAATTAAGAGCAAAGACTTCAACAACTACGACAAAACTCTCCAGGTTAGAAGATTGAACCTTGTTCTGATGAGTTTGCCCAACAACTGTGGGTATATGTAGATACTCTCCCAACCCAGTGGAATGTAGCTTTTCTATGTCTGCCAGTGATTTCTGAACTTTTCTGAATAACCCAGAGAAAAAAGCACAAATTACAAATCTAGCCCTAAAGAATAGGAAGAGGGGATGATGGTAATGAAAAAAATAGTATCTGTTCACCCAATTAAATCATGTTTTCCATTGCTATTGAAGTTAAAGCACTCTATAATTAATGGACTGTCCTGCATAAATTAGAAACAAGAATTAATATATCGCAAATTTGACACTAGACAAATGACAAAGAGCAACAAATTCCAGCAAGAATAATAAGTGCAATATGCAATAACCAAATTGGCAAAGAGCAGATGATAGTTACTCTGGAGTATACACTATCATATGCCAGAGCTCCCTTTCAACAGATTCAAAACTTGTAACCCTCTGATTTCAGAGAGATGGTGCAAACAGGTGTGTGAGAATAAATACCAAGTTACAAGTAGTGAAAAGGGGAAATCATTTTCTATCATATTAGGATAGCAGCAATAAATGCAGATTTGAACCCTGAAGGATGCTGCCTCTTTTACCTTGCTTCCAACCTGTTGAATACTCAAAAATACAGGTTTCCATGTTGGACTGTGATCATTTTTCAAAACCTCTGTTTTGCAAATTGGAATAACTATCCCGCCCTCCATAGTTTTTGATAATATCAGAAAGGGGTCCTGCAAGAAGCAGCAATATACATGTATAAATTCTCCATTTAGTCCTTTTCCAGTGAAAGCAAAAAAAACTTGGCAAGTCCATACACTTTTTGAGAACAGATCCTTAGATTCCAAATTTGTACATCTCAATATCAGCTCTGTCATAGTCTTTGATGTAAAACTTTCTTCAGCACAAACAGTGAGGTGACCCAAATGTTGGGGACGGTTTAAACCAGTAGAATCGTCTCTACGTCCAAGATCCAAGGTTAATGACCTGTTTGTTTTAGTGACAATCTACACAGAAGTAAATGAAAAAATTAATGTGTACACAAAAATACATGAAAAATTAATCGTACATAAAATTAAGTTCCGGTTTCCAAAAGAACAATCAGTGTGAAGGACATCTGCACTTAAATGACCATTGAGTCCTAAATACTTGACTATGGTTTATAATAGCCAGAGAAAGTGCATGCGATCTGTATAACACCAATGCATATAAAACAGGAAAGTGATAGCCAGATGTTTATCGGTGGAAAGACAAATAGTATCTACTTTATATGATGAATCATGCTCACAGGAAGACTTCCCAGCTAAGACATCCTAAAAGGTATGAAAAAAATATTGCAACTGCAAGACTACTACCTCAGTTTGTCCATCATACAAGGGGCCAAATCTAACATTAAGTGCACTTATCATATGTGTAACCGTGTTGCCTACAGATGATTCTGTAAAGGAAGTCTAAGACAAGATCAACACTAGGAAGCAAAAGTGGAAAGGTAGAATGGGTAGGTAATCAATACCTCGGACAATGCACAACTTGCCTCACCAAGAAATTGCTGCTCCTCCAACTTAAGCATCTGTATGAGCCATATCATTTTTCTGTATTTAATCATTAAGCATTGTAGCACAAAAGCACTTGGATATATGCATAATGTATCGAGTTCATATCAAATAGTAGAAGAGCATTTCACAAGCAGAAAACAAACACATTCCCTGTATAACTAGTTTTACATAGCAGCCCAATTCTCACAGTAAGGAAATCAACAAAAAAAGGACATCATAACAAAACTCAAGAGACATGGACACTTATAAATGTGCCATTTCTATTTTCCTCCCTTTAACAACTTCATCTTTACTCCAATGATAGCTCAGGAAACTTTAATTCTAGCCAAATCGGACCTTCTAGCTCTAATATGTAGCTATATTGGTTCAGATTGACGTGTAAATACAAATGGGTAGATATTAAAATCATCCAAACCCCACAACTAAGCATTTACCGACCCTATACGAGTTTTGCTTCCATGGTGTAGAAGAAGGAAAGTTTATTGCAAATAAAAAACCATGCAATAAATCAAATAATACCTGCCACTGTAAAACAATAAAATAGTTGAAAGATGTTTGAGCAAAGATCTGATGGGGACAAGCTGAGTGAAAACTAGGTAAAATGGTGTGGATGTTTGTTGAGCAGGTGTGACATGACACCAGTTCAAGAAGCTACTAATGGAAAGGAAGACCATAGAGCATCTGGGTATTGTATACATGATAAAAATGTGGTGGAGGCATTCTTGACTAACACCATAAATAATGTATTGCACTCAGTAATTTATTTTATACGTAAAGAGCTCTTACACAGTTTAGTAGGAAATAACTAAAAGTCAGCATGCTTTACATGCTGCATCCCAAACATGATAAATGATTTGCAGTCAAAACCAGCAATTGTCCTGAGCAAGGCCAGCACCAAAGTTTTCATGCTTTGAAAAATGCTAATTGTGTAATAGACTTTCGAGAGTAAAAAGTTCTTTGACAATCCAAAAACTAAGCCAAATTTCTGTACAATAGAGAGTAAGTGATGCCATATCATCTCAATTGAGTTATTGTTTTAAATTTTCCAGTGATACATGCAATGGAATAATAACTAATGATCGGACGATCTGATGCTCATACAAGCTTGAGGTCAAATAAAGTTTGGTGGGTTTACGATTAATGGTGCTTTCTTTCACCCAACCAATTGAAACTCAGCTAATTTAGGCATCTTTGATGAAATTATTATTAAGTTTTGGCTGGGATGTAAACAAACATATATCACCCCAATTCAAAAAAAGTGTTCTTTCTCCAAGGAAAAAATTCAATAGATATATTCGGTGACAGAAACACATTCCAGAATGTTCCATGGTTCTGCATAAAATTTTTGGAAGACAGCTTCGGATAGACATACCTTCACTTCTTGATCGTGAAACTGAGTGTCAACATCATATATACGAAATCTGTGATGAAAGGTCATTTCTCAGGATGCATGAAATTTACAAAAAATAGACACTGGCTTGATAAAAATTAAGGGACTGAAGAATCAAAACTTACACCAAATTCTGTACCGTCTCAAAATTATAAGTAATAGTATGGTGTCTGATCCACTTGGGATTCAATGAATTTAACACTATTTCAGTACGTCCCAGCTCTTGAAGTGAACCATCCCTTCCTTTTGTATAAATGACTGCCATAGGATCACTCTGTAACCAAAATAAGACTTTGGAGATAATAATCTAAACTTTGCATGGCATCTGTAATATTCATATAACAAGACAGTGGAACATGACTTCACCACAGCAGATAAAAGGCATTTTGAATTATTTGACTAGCCATCCAGAGAGACAAAAATAACAAGAAGTTACAAGAAGAAATTGAGCTTCTGAAGCAGCATCAAGAAAAGCAAAACATAGTGCATGGCATTATTTACATATAACAAAACCATAAGCTTCTGTACAGAAAGCGGGCTTACTCTGTAAACCAGTTAGTAAAGCTATTTATTTATCTGGAGCTTCTTTCCCCTTCATATGGTATGGACCCTAATTCTCCTTTCTATCTAGATGGTGAAAAATTGTATGCACTTCTACTTTATATGTTTTTGAAGAATGAAGAACAGGGGGCAACAACAAGATAGGATTGACAAGAAGTTCATTTGATTACAGAGTTTGTTTGCAAATACACTTAACTGGAAAGTAGGAAGATGTGTCGGATATTTTTTAGATCAATTACATTAAAATCTATGTTACATGTGTGATGATAACTGGAACTAACCAATTTCCATTCAAAATAAATTGCATTTGAATCAAAAAGCTAAGTCCAGATTGTGGAATATTTCAGGATGTGAACACTTGAGCATAAGGATTTATTCCGCAGCATATGCGGCATTGATGACGAATGACGATGATGACACAAACAAGCTATTGTGGGGAGCATTATGAGGATTGAGGCATTAAGTCAAAATGTGCAAACCCGCTGATACAGTGGTGGACAAAAACTTGTATAGGAATATCTCAACAAGTACCCTTATAGGCTACAATTACATTGTGCAAATCATGTGTAGTTCTTTGTGTTTCTAATAAGGTGATAACGTACCTTGGAGAGCACATCCCGATCACGCAAGTTCGAAGCAGATAATGACAACTGGAGACATTTGTTAAGAAAAAACAGAGTGATGAATCATAGTGGATATTTAACTGACAATTCAATTCAAAATCTCAATTCATTCTACTTATCATGGTCTCTGTAACCATAGAATTGGAAATATTTGTAAGGGTAAAACCACAGAAGATAGAAGCACAATTGGTTGGCCAAACACAGAAAATTGGAAGATTCATCCCAATACTGGTAGACTGAGTATACCTAGTTCCACCCTGTAGGTCTTGGCTATGAGACCCTGACCAAATTTTGTAATTGCTATTACATTTACTATAGTTGATATAAAGGTTTTTGCCCATTGAGTTGCCTTGATTGTACAGGTTATTGATAGGACATATAAGTTCTTGTTTACAGGAATGGTAATCATAAAAAGCTATTTCTAATCTGAAAACCTTGAGCCTCACATTCCCTTAAGGGGCTAAATCTGCTGTCATCAAGTTTGAGGAAAATTTTCAATTGAATGGCAATAGGCAGGAAAATCAGGCCTTTATGATTAAAACCTGCACAGCGCACAATCAAGAAATGCGTCTACAAACTGAGAGAATGGCATTCAACTGCATAGTGTTGAATCCTTGTAATTCCACTCAATTAACCACACTCTTTAAACATATACAAATCAAACACACAGTATGTAAATGAAAGAGTACACACAAAATGAAGCTGAATTGAGTGAGTAAGAAAACGAACTTCGATCTGGGAGAAGAGACCTTGATAGCCGCGAGATTTGAGGAAGGCATCGACAGCGTCATTAGGAGCGTTGGATGGATTAGCTTGAGAATAACCGGTTCCGCCGACCGCCGACTGTCCGACGGCCAAGTCGGCGCAGCAATTCCCCATCGCCGCAGGTCCTACAAACACTTTTGAAAATAGGAATATTTCGGATACAAAGAACGATACCAGAGAGTTTTCTACGATACTTTTAAAGACGTTTATGCAGAGAGAGAGAGAGAATCAGTATTTAGCAAACGTGGGGGCCCACTTGACTAAAGACAAGGCCGCGTTTGACACTCAACTGAACAAAGCGCGTTGATCTGAAATTCATTTGAAGTTTACTACCATTCGGCTAAATTCCTCTGCGGTGGATCTTATTTTTGTTTGTCCATAATCAAATCAGCGTGAGCCGCGTGGATGCAGCTAAACGATCGATACCAGGTGAAATTACTGTAAATGACTGATATTTTTTCTTTTTTTAAATACAACATTAAATGAGATAAGCTAAAATGCTTTTACTGACAGACCTTTCACGTCTACGCATAAAATTATTATTTTTCTTCCATTCCTTTCTTACCATAAATATCGTGGGCAATAGTTGGGTTAAAATACATGTGATGGTATGAGAATGATTTTAAATATTCTTCGTATTCTTTAAAAGATATGTTATTATAATTGTGACTTGATTGGCAACGTATTCTTCTATGTCCCGGAGGTCTTTGAGTCTTGGCCGAATCCCATTGAATAATTGTGATTTAGGAGCTCAAATGCATTTGAAGTCGTCAAGTGAGACATTCAATTCATGAATTAGAGATTTATCTTCACAACAAGCTCCTCAATTTTACCCAGGTCACCACGCTTTGGACATCTCTATCAAGATTGTTGATGTCCCATGAACTTAACACGAAATCAAAACGAATTTAGTGGATTTAAATTTAATCTTAATTCTTAGTATGTTTGAATCGTAGATTGATGGATCTGTTGAATATGTTAAATAAGTAACCGATTAAATAGAATATAAATTTGTTATATACAATTTATGCACGATATAAATCTTATTATATTTTGACATAATATTATATGAATTTAATACAATATCTATCTAATATTATAGTTTGAAAGATGAATTTTTAACTCATAAAACATAATAACGGTTAAATTTGATCCAATTATACATAATTTATCCTAAATAAAAATTTCAAACAAAACCCTTTTTTTTTGCATGCATGGCTCTCAATATCAAACAATTCAGTCAACATATTTTTTAATTTCAGACAATATACTAATCAACTCTTATCTCTCTCTTATTTCTCTGTCACTTATCTATTTTATTTTCTTTATCTATTTTAAATTTAAATTATTTAATTAATAAATAAAAATAAAAATTTATTTAAAATACAATATATTACTTGATTTTTTTGATATTACAAATACCCTCGGGCACGAAATTATTACTATTTTTTTTTTTTTTGATACATGAGGTGTGGAGACGTTTTATTGGTCGAAGGAAAGCCAAGCGTGTGGTCATGGCTAACAGATAAAAGTTTCGACGCGCTTTCATGATATAGATTAAGTATGACCTACTGTAATTGAAGAGAACTTAGTCGACGACCACAGATTTAAGTATGTTGACTTTGGACAGTCACTGTCAAAGACAGAAGCACCCTTCAAATCCACCCATGGTCTCCTATAGCTTTTTTTTTTTTTTTTTTAAACTGGTCTCCAAGAGTTCAAAGGAGATATTCGCATCATCACTTATTTAAATCTTTCTAATTAGGCCTAATCTCCCATCTCTCATACACCAATAATTACAATTATTGAAATAAATTGTTTGGTTTCACTCTAAAGAGTTTGATAAAAAAAAGAAAAATTTCAACCACACCCCCCTCTAGTTTACTATATCTTCAAGGACACTCACTCTAGTTTATGAATCTTCAATGACACCCCTTCTAATTTAATTTAAACATTACTAACACCCCCTACCATTAAACTACCATTTCTAATAAAAAAAATTCATCAAAAATGCCTCTACATAACCTCAAATAATTTTTCTATATATAAAATTTTATTAAAATTTGAGCTGTTAAAATTTTTTAAAAAAATTATAAATAACAATTTTAGTAAATAATTTGTTAGTAAATGCTAACTTTTTATTTACTAATTCGTAAATTTTAAAAAAAAATTGAGCCTATCAAAATTTATTTTTTACATATTAAAATTTGAACCGATTTGAACTCTACCCGAGTTGTTAGCACCGATTAAAATTTTCTTTCTAGTCGANAAAGTTTCGACGCGCTTTCATGATATAGATTAAGTATGACCTACTGTAATTGAAGAGAACTTAGTCGACGACCACAGATTTAAGTATGTTGACTTTGGACAGTCACTGTCAAAGACAGAAGCACCCTTCAAATCCACCCATGGTCTCCTATAGCTTTTTTTTTTTTTTTTTAAACTGGTCTCCAAGAGTTCAAAGGAGATATTCGCATCATCACTTATTTAAATCTTTCTAATTAGGCCTAATCTCCCATCTCTCATACACCAATAATTACAATTATTGAAATAAATTGTTTGGTTTCACTCTAAAGAGTTTGATAAAAAAAAGAAAAATTTCAACCACACCCCCCTCTAGTTTACTATATCTTCAAGGACACTCACTCTAGTTTATGAATCTTCAATGACACCCCTTCTAATTTAATTTAAACATTACTAACACCCCCTACCATTAAACTACCATTTCTAATAAAAAAAATTCATCAAAAATGCCTCTACATAACCTCAAATAATTTTTCTATATATAAAATTTTATTAAAATTTGAGCTGTTAAAATTTTTTAAAAAAATTATAAATAACAATTTTAGTAAATAATTTGTTAGTAAATGCTAACTTTTTATTTACTAATTCGTAAATTTTAAAAAAAAATTGAGCCTATCAAAATTTATTTTTTACATATTAAAATTTGAACCGATTTGAACTCTACCCGAGTTGTTAGCACCGATTAAAATTTTCTTTCTAGTCGATTAAAATTTATATTTTTTTACTTATTAAAATTCGTGTCAATTACAATTCAATTTATTAAAATTCACATATTTTTATATATTAAATTTTGGGTTGATTAAAATTTGATTTGAGTCGATTAAAAATAATTTTTAATTAACTCAAACAAAATTTTAACTAGCCCAAATTTTAATACGTAAAAAAAATATAATTTTTAATTGGCACAAATTTTAATATGTAAAAAAATAAAATCGAATTTTAATCGGTTCGAATTTAATTATGTAAAAAAAATTAAAAAATAGAGGGGGTCTCATTAAAAATATACTTATCTAGAGGGAGTCTTATTGAAGATATGTTTATCTAGAGGGGTGTGGATGACATTTGTCCTCAAATATATCATGAACAATTTAGTAAAATTACATTCTACTTAATATTTNGGAAAATTTCAACCACACCCCCCTCTAGTTTACTATATCTTCAAGGACACTCACTCTAGTTTATGAATCTTCAACGACACCCCTTCTAATTTAATTTAAATATTACTAACACCCCTACCATTAAACTACTATTTCTAATAAAAAAAAATTCATCTAAAATACCAAAAATGCCCCTACATAACTTCAAATAATTTTTTTAAATATAAAATTTATTAAAATTCGAGCAGTTAAAATTTAAAAAAAAAATTTTAAATAACAATTTTAGTAAATAATTTGTTAGTAAATACTAATTTTTTATTTACTAATTCGTAAATTTTTAAAAAAAATTGAGCCTATTAAAATTTATTTTTTACATATTAAAATTTGAGCCGATTTGAACTCTACCCGAGTTGTTAGCACCGATTAAAATTTTCTTTCTAGTCGATTAAAATTTATATTTTTTTACTTATTAAAATTCGTGTCAATTACAATTCAATTTATTAAAATTTATATATTTTTATATATTAAATTTTTGGTTGATTAAAATTTGATTTGAGTCGATTAAAAATAATTTTTAATTATCTCAAACAAAATTTTAACTAGCCCAAATTTTAATACGTTAAAAAAATATAATTTTTAATTGGCACAAATTTTAATATGTAAAAAAATAAAATCGAATTTTAATCGGTTCGAATTTAATTATGTAAAAAAAATTCGAAAATAGAGGGGGTCTCATTAAAAATATACTTATCTAGAGGGAGTCTTATTGAAGATATGCTTATCTAGAGGGGTGTGGATGACGTTTGTCCTCAAATATATCATGAACAATTTAGTAAAATTACATTCTACTTAATATTTTTAATCTGACAGGGGGTGTCATTGAAGATTCAAAAATTAGAAGGGGTGTGGTTGAAATTTTCCAACAAAAAAAAAATTTCAACAATGATGAGTGTTTGGATCAATTTACATGCATTTCGACTAATCTTTTTCTCGATCCGGTCAAAGGCAGGTATCATTCATCTCAGAACTAAGATATTCATGATGAATAAATTTCTTAGACTTTGACAAATTAATTAAAACTAATAGGATAAAAAGATGAAATAATATAGAAAGTGGTGTTTTTGGTGTTGTTTTAATTCAAATTTCAATCATCATGTTAGCATCATATCATTTGTCTCTTTTTTCATTTTTATTTTTTTAAAATAAATTTAATATTATTTACAACATAATTGTGTTTCCCCCATTTTTCAAAAAATAGAGGAAATGTAATTGAACAAATCCTTGAATCAAGTCGTATCGAATTAAGTTTAAAATAATTTATTTCTTAAGTCTAAATTAAGTCTTAAGTATTCAATTCCCTTCATCAAAAAACATGTTTCTTCAATATTCTTCCCGACCCCCTCCGATACCCTATTAATGGGATTAAATTGGGCATTATTTTATATTTTTAATTTTTTTTATTTATATATAATTTTGAAAACACAATTCTAATGATGACATTTGAATCACAAAAAAAAAAAAAGAATTTAATGATTAGTCTCCCCACCCTTTCATTGTCAATTCTCTTTTTTGAAATCCAAGTAGAAAATGTTAGGTGGTAGTTTCTTGACGTAGCAGAGTTCCGTAGCCGTCTTCACTTCCCAGGTGGTGGTAGCCAAAATATCATCATATGTGTCTTGCAGAAGTATTGATATGTTATTGTTGTTAGATATTATTATGCTGTATTGGANATTTCAACAATGATGAGTGTTTGGATCAATTTACATGCACTTCGACTAATCTGTTTCTCGATCCGGTCAAAGGCAGGTATCATCCATCTCAAAACTAAGATATTCATGATGAATAAATTTCTTAGACTTTGACAAATTAATTAAAACTAATAGGATAAAAAGAATTTAATGATTAGTCTCCCCACCCTTTCATTGTCAATTCTCTTTTTTGAAATCCAAGTAGCAAATGTTAGGGGGTAGTTTCTTGACTTAGCAGAGTTCCGTAGCCGTCTTCACTTCCCAGGTGGTGGTAGCCAAAATATCATCATATGCGTCTTGCAGAAGTATTGATATGTTATTGTTGTTAGATATTATTATGCTGTATTGGAGTATTATCTGTCTTGATTCAGCCATGTCATCACACGAGAATAGTACAAAATTTTCAATTGTTAATTCAATTACCACGACTTGATTATTAGGATATTCTGTGCAATATATATATATATATATTCCATTATTAAAGTATAAGTAGTTAAAATATTCAGTGAGTTAAAATATAAATGAGTGATTGAAATATTTATTATGGCTAAAAAGTATATATAATTCAAATTTTTACTATATCTAAAAAATTAAGACCGTTATTGTATTTTATGCAAGTAAGATACTATATTTTATTACTAGTTATTGTATGTGCATAAAGGTACAAAGTAATAAAAAATAATAAACAATAAACATATTTGTATTTATATCTAAAATTAAATCACAAATACAGAGAAGAGATAAAAGAATTTAAACATCAATTTACAGTGGGGGTGAGAGGCGGTGAGCGGCCAGTGGTGGTGGTAGAAGACGGTGATGATAGTGGTAGGTGGCAATGACCATGGTGGCGGCGATGGTGGTGGTGGTGGTGACAGTGACGACGACGATAGTGGTAGTGATGGTGACAACAACGGTGATGGTGGCGGTGGCAACGACGACGATGACGACGACGACAATAGTAGTGGGGTAGGGTGGTGGTGGCGACAGTAGCGTCGGTGGTGGTGATGGTGGTGGTGGTGGCGACGTCGACGACGACGGTGGTGGCAATCGTGGTGGTGGTGGGGGGNTGGCGACGTCGACGACGACGGTGGTGGCAATCGTGGTGGTGGTGGGGGGTGGGGGGTAATGATGGTAGTGGTGGTGGTAGTTGTGGTAAAGGTAGTGGTGGAACAATTTTAAACACTATTTTTAAAAAATATTTATGATAAAAAAATTCACTTCAAATACACCCTTAATGGTCTATTTTTTCTATTATATTTAGGGTGTTAATATTAGCCGTTAAATTAACTTAAAATAAAATTTAAAACGATCTCAACCGCGATTAACAAAAATCATTTTATTTATCTTTTGAAATTTAAATTGTAAGCTACTTTATTATATAGATATATAATAATTATGATCCAAGCTAATGTATGTAGTAGTGGTACAGCAGTGACGATGGAGGTTGGATCTGAGGTATAAGAAATACTCAACTCTTCTAATGATATTTTCGCAAGTTCGAATCTGAATATTAATTTTTTTAAAATAATAATGTAATTGTCTGTCACTTATCTAAACTCCCGTCNTATGCAAGTAAGATACTATATTTTATTACTAGTTATTGTATGTGCATAAAGGTACAGAGTAATAAAAAATGATAAACAATAAACATATTTGTATTTATATCTAAAATTAAATTACAAATACAGAGAGGAGATAAAAGAATTTAAACATCAATTTATAGTGGGGGTGAGAGGCGGTGAGCGGCCAATAGTGGTGGTAGGAGACGGTGATGGTAGTGGTAGGTGGCAATGACCATGGTGGTGGTGATGGTGATAGTGGTGACAGCGACAACGATGATAGTGGTAGTGATGGTGGCAACAACGGTGATGGTGGCAGTGGCAACAACGACGATGACGACAGTAGTGGGGTAGGGTGGTGGTGGCAACAGTAGCGTCGGTGGTGGTGATGGTGGTGGTGGCGACGTCGACGACGACGGTGGTGGCAATGGTGGTGGGGGTGGGGGGTAATGATGGTGGTGATAGTGGTAGTTGTGGTAGAGGTAGTGGTGGAACAATTTTAAACACTATTTTTTAAAAATATTTATGATAAAAAAATTCACTTCAAATACATCCTTAATGGTCTATTTTTTCTATTATATTTAAGGTGTTAATATTAGTCATTAAATTAACTTAAAATAAAATTTAAAACGATCTCAACCGCGATTAACAAAAATCATTTTATTTATTTTTTAAAATTTAAATTATAAGCTACTTTATTATATAGATATATAATAATTATGATCCAAGCTAATGTACGTAGTAGTGGTACAGCAATGACGATGGAGGTTGGATCTGAGGTATAAGAAATACTCAACTCTTCTAATGATATTTTCGCAAGTTCGAATCTGAAAATTAATTTTTTTAAAATAATAATGTAATTGTCTGTCACTTATCTAAACTCCCGTCNGTTCGAATCTGAAAATTAATTTTTTTAAAATAATAATGTAATTGTCTGTCACTTATCTAAACTCCCGTCTCAGATTCTAAAATAAACCGGAATCTTATGTATTGAGTAATACTTTTTTGCTAAATTTTTAGAAATTTTCATACGTCAATTTGATGCACTGCTCTCTAACCTCATCCAGGTAGGAGAGAGAGTATGGGGACCTAATCTATATGTTTGCCTCATAAGAGCTGATCTCCTCTCTTTCTCTCTCCTGTTTCCTAAAGGAATAACCAAAACAAGTCATCAGCCATAAAAGGCATAGCAAAGACAAGACAAAGCGAAGGGAAAAACATTGCTTCGTGGCGCAGGTAGGCTCCACTCAGCGACGTGCCCACTAGTAATCCTTTCATCTCCGATATCTTAAAATGCGTTGCAACAAGTAAAATACTCTTAGATGTAGTCCAATATTTGAATCTAATTTTTAATAATTAAGAGATCTCAAGTTCATTTCCTTCTCACGCACCTCTAAAAATTAATTCCTTTAAAGACATGCTCTAACTCGACTCAAGTTATAATAGTCGACCGCTATAAATTCTAAGAAATAGTCAACTCGAGCATGAACACCCTTACAAAAAAAAAAAAAAAAAAAAAA